CATTTAATGCGATCTAGAGCTTTCTCCTTCAAATGACAGTATCCTCTTCTGTCCCCAAGGTCATCCAGCATCTTCTTACGTCTTCTTCCTCGTCTTCTTGTCACTTCTATCCGCCCCTCTATCTTTCCTTCGATAACTTCTTTTAGAAGGCAGTTTCTGCGTAAAACATGACCAATCCAATTAGCCTTCCGTTTTCTTATTTCGTGTAGGATATTCCTCTGCTCACTGACTCTAATTAACACTTCTTCATTTCTCACATAATCGGTCCAACTGATCTTCTCCATCCTTCTCCAACACCACATTTCGAAGCTTTCCACGTGTTTCTGATCTACTGCCCTAAGTGTCCATACCTTAGCTTACCTTTTAGGAATGTGGGTACCATCCATTGTTGAAAGATGTTCTTATTTCTTTCTGTTGTTTCCTTGGCTAGAGAATTCCCACTTTTCCTGCTTTATCTTCATTTCTAATTCTGTTTTACTGCGCCCATTCACCTCGCCTTCCTGCAGTCTCATACAGCCTTACGTAACCTTCATTACCCAAGATTCATTGCCGTGTAACAAAATGGACACCGCCATAATTTCACAAAACTTACAATATTGTGTCTGATTTAGTTTTCCTTCTTAGTGGTCTTGAAATAGTTTCACGTATGTTTTGGAACTTATTTGTTGCCATAATCATACGTAACATTGTTGCCGGAGTGTTCGTATTTCTACTCAAACTGAATTAACCAGGTCTATGGGGCACAGTCCTTTGTTTGGACGGCCCGGGCGCGGCACGATCTTCAACACAGCGCCCAGACCGCCTCTGGGGCCCACCCAGCCTCCTATCCAACGGGTACCGGGGGTAAAGCTGACATCTTACATCCATCTAGTGCCGAGGTCAAGAATGGTGCAACTAGGCCACTCCTCGTGTGTCTTCATGCTGTAATAAAGGTAAGGTAAAAAAGGTAAACGGAGAAGTTCATGGAGGTAGGCCTAGGCCCACTGGGGCTGTAGTCCCAAGGAAAAAAAAGGTAAATTTGTCCCTGTGCTTAACTAATTAAGCACTACGCAATGAGGGCGTATTTGGGAATGGATGTATAGATTCACATTTTCTTGACCTCGGCACTGGTTGAAGGCGAGTGGTCAGCTTCACGCCCCGGCCACTTTACCCCCGAGGAAAGAGCCCCCGGTACCCATTGGATGGGAGGTTAGGTGGGCCCCAGAGCCGGTCTGGACGACATGGAGAAGTGAAAATTCTTACCCCACCGGGAGTCGAACTCCGACTGAGCTATCCCGGCTCCCTTCATGTCCTAATGTTAAAACTAATTAAGCACAGAGACAACTTCACCTTCAGAAATAAGAACGAAAAGAAAATAATTGTCATAACCAAAATTTGTTGTTGCTGATAGCGACCCCCACAACTGCAAATATGGAGATACACTATTGTAAGGAATAAGTAGTTGCGAACGTCAGAAAAGAGGTGGTCCTCTAGCTTGGGGATGCTACTGGGAACTAACAATCATTCATCGCAATAAAAAAAATGTACATGTTACAAAGTGTTACACAGTGCCTCTGGGGTGGTGGACTTTTGTGAAAACAGTAATGAACCTTCAAATTCCACAAAAGGCAGCAAAGCTGCTGAATATGTGGGCAACCATTAGTTTTTCAAGGACGATTGTGACCCGTGGAATGACACAGTTCTCGGACACTGATGAGAAAACGCGACTTATTTGTCGCGTCGCAGAGAAGTCACTTGTACGTATATATACAGAGTGTCCCAGGAGTTTGGAGCCATACTTCAGGAGCGTACTGAGGGTTCCCTATAGAATAACTTTGAAATAGGAACCCATGTCCGCAAACGTAAAATAGCAGCGCTAGGGCAGCATTTAAAATCATTTCGTTTAAATTGGCGCCTCAATGTCGAACTGCATTGCATAGAGGAACAGCCATCCACCAGCACTCGTGCCTTTGCCAAGATTGTGGGGACATCAAAATCAAGTGTTTGGAAGATCCTGCATGACCAACAGCTTTATCCGTATCATCCAACGCGAGTACATGACGTAGGTCCACCTGACTTCGTACCACGAGTTCAATTTTGTCAGTGGATACTGAACCAGTGTTTACATCGGCCCAACTCCCTGAATCACGTGTTATTCACAGACGAAGCGCAGTTCGCAAGGGATGGCTGGTTCAACTGTCGAAACAGCCACGTTTGGGCTGACGAAAACCCCAACGTTACTGTAGTTGGTTACCACCAGGCGCAAATTTCTGTCAATGTCTGGGAGGGCTTCATTGGCGATCACTTGATTGGGCCTTTCATCCTACCACCGCGACTCAATGGGCCCTTTTACAAGGCGTTCCTTGAACATATCCTTCCGACTTTGCTAGAAGACGTGCCACTGATTGTGCGGAGGCAAATGTGGATACAGCATGACGGAGCGCCGGCACACTTCAGCGTTGTATCACGAAACTACCTGGATCCTGTTTTTCATGGTCGTTGGATAGGAAGAGGAGGCCCAGTGCCTTGGCCACCCCGATCCCCAGACTTGACACCTCTGGACTATTTCGTCTGGGGCCATGTGAAAAGCCTGATCTACGACACGCCTGTGGATAATGAATTCGAGCTGTTGGCTAGAATACTTGTTGCATGTGACGTGATCCGTGAGACACCTGGAATATTTGAAAGGGTGCGCCAAAGTTTCTTTCGTCGATGTAACGCATGCATTGAAAACGGAGGGCGCCAATTCCAACATCTACTCTAGCAGGTGAATCTTGAGAGTTTGGAGGGGGTAATATGCCTGTGCAGGCTCTTCGACATTGAGGCCCCAGGTTTAAACAAAATGATTTTAAATGCCACCCTAGCGCTACTATTTTACGTTTGCAGACATGGGTTCCTATTTCAAAGTTCTTCTATAGGGAACCGTCAGTACGCTCCTGAAATATGGCACGGAACACCTGGGACACTCTGTATACATATGTATATGCATACCTCGTCTGCTTAATATGAATATGTGCATAACTTCTATCCCTTAGCCTTCTTCTATCGGTTTATACGTTCTGAAAACAAACGTGACCCTCGTGATAAAGCAACTAAGTCTCCAGTGTTAGCACTGTGGTAATTATACGTGTTTCCCAACCAGTGGTTAGAGGACCGATGTCGTATTTTTTTTTTCCTGATCGGCCAACTTTCAGGTTTCCCTAATTCCGTTAAGAACAAAATATTTCTCATTGTACCTGAGTATTTTCCTGCGTGTTTTCTTCGGTGACATATATTCGTTTTATTAGTAATAATTATTCGATTGTCCCGGATACGCGGATAATCTGCTCCTTAACGAAGTGTTACAGTCTACAGAAGCCCATATTGGGCATTAATAACATTCAGGTGTTATACCGTGTGGAGGCGGGTTCGAATACCTCCACCGTAGCCCTGCGAGTCGTAGGAGGCGACGAAAAGGGAACCCGGTGTCTGGGGGTATAACTGGACCACCCTGTTCCTGGGGGACCTGACCCTCCAGGTTGGGTGAGTCTAGAATGTGAGACAGTAAAATGTTTTCATGACGCAGGACTTGGACCTGAGAACGACTGCGCTGGCGAGGACCAGCAGCAATTGTAAACGATAGATGCATGCTCTCGTCAGAGAAGAAGTTACATGAGGACTATAACTGCAAGTTTTCACTTGGAAAATACAAATTTCTGGTCGTGAGTCCTAAGGGGCTTGTCGCCAAAACTAACTGATTGACGGTAAAGTAATTCTGACGCTTAATAACATTCATCGCATGAATCTTACGACCCATTCTTAAACTTTTCTCTAGTCCATGCTGTTATTGCATCTTCAATAAACGTCGCCATTTTTTACACCCTCTGACCACAGAAATCGGACGACAGAAAGCTGTTATTTCATCCGTGGAATATCAGTGTTACGAAGGAGTAACCTAAAAACAACATTTTACTTAAGATCATCCAATCTCACGCGATTTGAGAGTATTTATTTCCCCTGAAGACGAAGGCAGTTAAGTTTCTTCCAAATGTCGGTACCCACTTACCAGACAAGACGGTGTCATGGCCCAGAAGACCACAATATGGTTCTTCGCTGCCGTGGGATCCTCTAATCTAGAGGTAAATTTTATCTCTGAGCTTAATTATGAGCCACGCCTTGAAGACGTCTGGGGGTGTGGAGGTATAGCTCCACAATTCTTGACCTTGGCACTAGAGCGGAGTGGTCAGCTTCTAGCCCCTACACGGTTAGTTCCACAGAAACAACTCTCGGTACTCATTGTATAGGAGGGTGGGACCCAGAGCCCGTCTGGTCGTAATGTAGAAAACTCATTTGCGCCTACAGGGAATCTAAGCCCGACCCCTCGGCCAACCCGCCCGTAGTCTACTCCAGTGGTTCTCATCCGTTGTCAGACCGCGGCCCGGGAAATTCTTTTTCCTACAGGAAGAGGTCCCGGTACCGTGTCGTTGAGGTTGGTTTAGTCGCTGTACCGACTGAGCTATTACGGCTTCCAGTTATCTATGTTCGTATTGTTTGACTTTACTGTCCTCCTGGGTTATGCGAACACGGCAGTAAAGTAGGGGGAACTAATAATGTTCCTCCGAAATATCATAAACATCTACCCAATTACACGGCGTCAAATACCGTAAGACTGAAACCGTCACTGCCCCTGCTGTCAGAACTTCAGATCTCTTTAATAGAAAAATTAAAAAAAAAAAAGTAAAGGTATCCCCGTAACAGAGCGTGGAGGCCCATAGGGTTGTCAGATGTTGAGGTTCTCACATTTTCTAGACAATCTGCTCACAGATGATGCTGAGGTTGTTAGCCTTACGCGCCGGCCGCTATTTACCCTCAGGAAGATTCCCGATACTCATTTCTGTTAGAGGCTGATTCGACCCCAGGGAAGTAACATTGTTGCATTAAATAATTTATTTTATGGTTCTTCTAAATAAGAGATCCCGCACAGAATTTAAAAGGCGAAGAGAATTTCTGGGGCCAGGACACTTAATTTCCCTAGAATGACAACACAAGGGAGAATCAGTTACAAATATCTTCAACTTTATTGATATGGAAAACATTCACTAGACGATAAGGGACATATATACCACATATCATGAATATTAACCTCTATACAACCATCAATTCGGTATTAAGATATAGTTTAAATTACGTGGAATATACAGTGATAATATTCATAATCACACTTCAAGAATTGTTCATTTATTGTATATACATGCTGCCTCTTGTCCTGAGATACGTAGCATTTCAAACATCAGAACAATGGGAACAAGAAAATTACTCTCTTCTTTTATAGGGAAACTGTAAAGCCCTAGTTCCCAACATTAATTTTATCAAATTTTGATCCATTTTCCTAAGCAACCACTATCTCTAAAGTTGTGAAATTTGACACAAACGTAATGAAAATATTTTCTGTATCCACTGTTTTTTAACATTTATTTGTAAATATATCCGTAAAAACATTTCCTACGAAAACCGTTACTTAAAAATGTGTTTATAACCAAATGATTGCAAAAATGAATCTATAGATACAGAGAACACAATACTACATATGCACCAAATTCTAAAACCGCAGAGGTTATAACGGCTTACAAAAATTGCACCTAAATTAACGTGTTGAAGACTGGGCTTAACAATTTTCCCTTTGGCTAATTTTCATTTGATCTAGAAATTTCAATATGTTCGCAATAGTTGAAATTTAAAGTATTTATAGTAAAAAATACATTTTGACACATATCAAACAGGAAAATTTCAAATTCTCCTGTTATTGTGAGCTAACAAGCTGCCAGTTCAGTTTGGACACCATTTAAATGAAAATGCACATATTAAAACAAACGTCAAACCTACAACATAACCTCATTTTAAACAAATATTTTCTCTTGAAATGTTTTCTTTATGCAAATAAAATATCACATACCAAAACATTCAACATAATTATATGACAACATTATTCATATGTGTATTCGAATGTAAATCAAAGTACCTTCGACATCAAAATTATTGCGCCTAATTGCCGATTTTTGCTCCCAATATAAAAGGCTAAAAATTACGTATAAAAAGAAATGACATTATTAAACAAATTAATGATAAATCAAAACCTTGTATATGTACAGTACTATTTGTAATATCACAGACTGCCCCCTGGCGGTACAATATTCAAACACGCTGTTACATTGTTCAACACGATAGGGGAATACTATTTTAAAAAAAAAAATTAACTGCCAATTTTAATTGGGCTTCCTTCGGTCATTATATTTATAATAAAATACCCTTAAGATTTATTAATTACAATCAGTTTCAAAATGTGATCTAAACAGACCGTGAAACATTCAAACGTGTCAACTGTAGAAAACGTTTTCCCTCAAACCTTTGGTCAAATACGCTATTAACACGCAACTCCATAGTAAAATTAATCACATTTAATTTTCGCGAATGTCGGTTGATTTTACTATAGAATATTTTTAGTGCATCTTTATGTATAAATATAAGGTAACGTGCCCAGCTACAAAAAAAAATAGTCACTCATTCTGCACTGTTGCACATTCATTCATACTAATGACAATATTGCACTGACAGTAACATCTAGATCATTAGATAGATGTCTTCTGGTGGGGCGACTTATTTTTGTCTTTTTTCTTTCCCCGTCGATATTAAGAGAGATTCAAGTCACATAAAGTAAACACACAAACACATTTTCAACTCCAGCTTTCTACATGACGACGTACCCAATAATCAGTTTTCTTCAGCCCAGCATTAAAGACGAACTGCGTGTTCATGAACTATGCACTGGAGCGGAAAATTAACCCAGTACTTTTCTCCACGAACCGTGAACTGGTCTGTAGAACGTTCAGATGTTTCGTGGAAGAAATGGCGTTGTGCGGTGACAGAATCAAAGGAACTGGGATTTATATACATGGATATTGTGTATCTCGGAAAATGGGATAGGTTCCATACATATTAGGAATCCATTAGTTTCCTTCTGCGGCAAAAGAATGGTAACGGAACATGAACTCGTCATACTATAATACATGACAGGTTAAAGGAAATTCGTCTGCATTTCAGACAATGAAAATCGTAACCTTACACTTCTTCATCCTCCTCGACAATGGGCAGAGAAGACTGATGGATAGTCGGTGAGCTCCTGGAGGTAAAAGCCAGCATCCAGGAATCCACATCACGCGGTGATTCGCTGAGAAACGTGAGACACATCGGAGTATCGAACCCACGCTGCCTCACCATGAAGCCAGGTTGTTTTTCTCCAGGAAGCCTTTCAACGCACGTGTTCCTCAAGTTGAGAACTCCCAAAGGTCTGCATACCTTCTTCTGCGGGTACAGCACAGCGAAATGTTCTAATGATGTCCTGTACACTTTGACCTGAACGGACTGACAATGTTTCCCAGGTCCAACGAGCGTCATGCTTCCACTCATGGTCTCCGGGTTCCAGCAGGTACTGTCAGTTGTTGGATCCTGTAGGTAAGTACTACATCCAGCCACATTCACGTCTGCAGGCATCTTGCTTCGGCTGTTTTAACTCCTTCACTTGAGACTCAGAATGTTCAATAACAAGTTATTTGCAAGTGGGTCACACACAACTTGACTTCCTCTCTCTGCCGCTTTGAAGGTAATCAAGTTATACCACCGCCTGAGGCAAGAAAGCACTCACTGAGGATGAAGACTCAAAGAGGATCAAGACACGAGACACCACTCCTTCCTCTCACTACAGCCAACTTTCACAGACTGACTTGTAGCAGGCGCTCCTAGTTGGTTTTATCGACGTGTACACGTCAAATGCACGCAGCGCGCCAAGCCGCGTGTCGAGGAAACTATCTGGCAAGTGGCCATGCGCACTGCTGCCAGGGAAGTACCAGCTTCAGCAGAATCGACACCTACAGCGCTGCTATGCGGTACAGCGCAACGTTACGCAAAAGTGAGTAAATAGTGTTACCTGCGAAAAGACCACGAAGTTCTTGTTAATGTGTAATGAAGAAGGAAGGGACCCTTCCCGAAATTGTTTTGAAATTTGGAGAGTTTATTTTATTTATGTATAGGTATTTATTTGACCGCCTCTGTGGTCCAGTGGTCAAAGTACCTGGCTACAGATAATTGAAGGAGAATGAGGATAACTGAAGAGCAATTTCAAGGAAATAGCGGCTCCGGTCTAGAAAACTGAAATTAACGGCCGTGGGGATTCGTTGCGCTGACCACGTGACGCCCTCTATCCATTAAAGTTGGCAATAACTTCGGTGGCAAGAGGAGGTCGCCCGATCGGTATAGTTCGCTTGCGGACTAAAGCCACGGAGTTTCTTTTAGTTTTAGTTCTCATGTTGTTACATCTGGAGCGATTGACAGATGGACAGAGAGATTCAGCCAAGTTACCAGACACGTATTTTCCACTTCTCTTTGTCAGTCTCACCGCCCAGTAGTGTAAAGCATACAATTCTTTAATTATCATATATTGCTCTAATCCAAACTATATAGCAGTACAGGATTTATGAACTATATTATAATACAGATATTATTGCAATGATCAAATCAAAGAGAATGAGACGTAACATGTAGCACGCAAAACAGGGAAGAGAAATGTATGCAAAGTTTTAGCGTGGAAATGTGAAGGAAGGAGAACCACCAGGAAAACACACGTAGAAGGGATGATAATATTAAAATGGATCTTAAGGCGTGGACTGGACTCTTCTGGCTCAGGATAGGGACCAGTGACGGGCCTTCGGAACACGACAATGAATCTTCAGTTTCCATAAAATGCTGGGAATTTCTTTAGTGGCTAAGCAACTGTTAACTTCGTGTAGTTATGTAATATTATCTGAAGACGCCATGTTTTTGTGCATCTTATCTCTTAAATTCTTATAGTCACACTCGTTCCGTTTGTATTTTAAGCACGTCTTCGACCTTGAGCTCTCCTATGGTTTTCTTGAGACCTTGTAATATTAGAGGGGATTTGCGTTCCGAACGGGACCCGATTAAATACATGTTAGTTTCGGGTATGGTATTTGAAGTCTGGCTTTGCATTTTTCCTTTACGCCGTCTAATGTGAGTGAGTGTGTGTGTAACGTCGGTTTTCTTTATTGCTAGTGGGGTGGGACTAAGTCCCTTGTACTGCGGCCACTTCTGGCTTATTGTACGAGCCCCAGATGATAGGTGAGGGTGATTGTGGAGCAACTGGTGGAATGATGATTGGCAGGGGATACCGAAGTACTCGAAAAAAAAACCCTGCCCCAGCGCCACTTTGTCCACCACAAATCCCACTTGACCAGACCCGGGATCGAACCCGGGCCGCCGCAATGGGAAACCAGCGACTAACCGCTTGAGCAATGGCGCGGCCCGTGTAATGCTGGTTACTGTTATAAAAGATCATTAACGCCGTCCAGTGCGATTGATAAATATTGTTCTTTTTTTTCAGTCTTTCGTTCGGAGCGACCATCTTCAGAAGGACAGTACATACGGCAACTACTATTACGGTGCCATTGGTCATTATCAGTACATACAGACAATACTATTACAATGTCATAAATATAAAATATTATCCTTTAACAGTTACTACGACGTGCATGAACTTGTTAAAAACTCGGTGGCCTGTAGTCCGCAAGTGAACTATACCGACCGAGCGACCGCCGCTTGTCGGCGAAGTTAGTGCCAACTTTTGCGGATAGAGGGTGTCGCGTGGTCAGCGCAACGGATTCCCACGGCCGTTAATATCGGTTTTCTAGACCGGAACCGCTACTTTTCTATTCAAGTAGCTCCACAATTATCCTCACGAGGCTGAGCGGACCCCGTTCCAGACCCGCTACTTCTCAGAAAATCTGGTAGCGCCGGGAATCGAACCCGGGACCTCTGGATCTGTAGTCAGGAACTCTGACCAGTATCTCAGTATCTCAGACTGCATAGCGTCAAATTATATGACGATAGATGAATCTGAAAGGATCTGGAAGGAAGCAGTTGTGGTCAGATCGAGGTTTTATCCTGGCATTTTGGACTGACGGGAACCACGAAAGACCTCTGTCAGGAGAGCCGGTGTCGGGCCGAGATTCAAACCGAGCACCTCTTGAATACAAACGCAGAGCGAAGAGCGAACTGCCCGGTTGCTTGGGAGTGAAACGTGTGCTTTAGGGGGAGCACTTCTAGAATCTTTGCTCGAGAAAGTGTGCGGCACTAGTGAGATCTCTGTAGATGTTTTATTTTCTCGACACGCCCGGTTCAGACACAACAGTTCTGTGTAACGCGGGCGGGGGGGGGCTGAGCAGACAGAATTACGTTTCTGGGATCTCCCCCCTGTGTATACGTCACAGGTGTTCCGCTAACGCCCGAGGCAACTTCCACGAACTAAAAGAATTTAAGGAGTTGACTGACTCGTAGAAGTCGTAATAAAATGCTTTTAGTTTTTGATACTGATAATTTTGCCCGTGGTTCTGTACGGTGTGAAACTTTGTCTCTGACATTAAGGTAGGAACTTAGACTGAGGGTGTTTGAGAACAGGGTCCTGAGGAAAATATTTGTACCGAAGAGAGATGAAGTGACAGGAGGTTGTAGAAAACTGCATAATGAGGAGCTTCATAACTTGTACTCTTCTCCAAGTATAATTAGAATGATCAAGTCAAGGAGGAAGAGATGGGCAGGGCATGTAGCACAAATGGGAGAGAAGAGGAATTCATATAGGATATTGGTAGGAAAGACAGAAGGAAAGAACCACTAGGAAGAGCAAGGCATAGGTGGGTGGACAATATTAAAATGAATCTTAGAGAGATAGGATGGGATGGTATGGATTGGATTGATCTGGCAAAGGATAGGGACTAGTGGAGGGCTCTTGTGAACAGGGTAATGAACCTTCGGGTTCCAGAAAATGCTGGGAAATTGTTGAGTAGGTACACAACTGGTGGCTTCTCAAC